AAAAAAAAAAAAAAAAAAAACAGAAAAAGAAAGAAGGAGCTGCTTTTATTTAACTGTGTAGCAGCCTGTGTTCATGACTGAGTGCAGCTTTCATCTGGATCCCGCAGTGCGGAATGCAGCAGGGAGGCCTGCACTGGGAGAAACACATCCCAGGACAGGCAGGGACCCTTGCCTCCCTTCTGGCCTATAAAGTGAGAGTAACACTCATCTACCATATGAGATTGTTGTAAGGATTAAAAGCCAAACTGTTTAAAAGCAACCAGTTGGCTATATTCTCTACACAGAATTAGGTATGGCATTCTCATCTCCATTTTATAGCTGAGAAAATCTTGTTCTAGAGATCAGCTGAACAAAAGAGCTAGTTGCCTGGGGGTGGGGGTGGGGGTGGGGGCAGAACCCAGGCCCCTCCCACCTGGCTCCCACACCTCCTGGGCTGGCTGCTTTCCAGCCCAACTGCTCAGGACCCAGGGGACTTCCCTCTGCCATCCTCGGGGATCCCCTCCTACTGTTAGCTGCATCAGATCCTGTTTCCTGACTCTCTCAGATTCCTCTCAGCTTTCTTCTTTCTGCATTTTGCTCAAGCATATCCTTTAGGAGTTTCAGAGAAACGACACATGGGAGGTAAACTTGGGAGCCTTGCGTGTCTGAAAATGTCTTTAATTCTACTTTCATGTTCAGCTGGCTGGGTCTGATTCCAGCTTGAGTTGTTTTCCTTGGGATTTCACTGGCACTGCTCCATGCCTTAAAGTTTCAGTGCTGCTGCTGAGAAGTTTGGCATCACTCTGACTCTGAATCCTCTCTGTGCTTTCTGGAAGCTTGTAAGACCTTAGGACTCTTAAAGGTCTTAAAGGGTGTGCAGGGCACTCGCCAGCCCTGCAATCTGGAGATGCTCTCCTTCTGTTTCAGAAGGGGTCCGCTGCGTTGCTGTGTTGGTGATATGATAATGATACCTCCCCGCTTCCTAATCTTTCTGAAATGCCTTTCAGGCAGATGCTGGACCTTAAAGATTAAATCTTGTCTTTTATATATTTCCTGATTTTCAATCTCTCTCTCTCTTTTTTTTTTTTTTTTTTGGTCTTTTTGATCTGTTTTCTGAGAGATTTCCTCTACCCCATCCCTTCCCACTGGATTTTTAATTTTATATTTTCTTACATCACTGTCTCCCTTGGCCTTCTTTAACAGCACACTGCACCCTACTCTTCCCTGACAGATACCAGGCCTGCTAATTCCTCTTTGAGAAATTAACCGCAGTTTCTTTAGCATGTAGCGGCCTGTGTTTCCTCCAAGCTCTCTTTTCCGCTCACCCGGGGGGCTGCTGGTCTCTACTTCAGAGCAAGGCACCAGGCTGCAGGTGTCCAGGGGGCTTATTCACCCAGGGCTAGGAGATCAGGCAGCAAACTGCCTTGTTCACAAGGCGCCCACCACATGAGCATCTATAATCTTTACCCTGGAACCCTGCAGTTTCTCAGTTAAAAAAGCCCCATCTTTTCTGACTCGGTGGTGAGACCCCGACATCATAGCCAGGATCACAGCCTGGCCATAGCAGCCAGGTTGCGGCATGGAGGCAGGTGAGGGCTCCACCGCACAGCGTGCAGCCTGCCACTCAGGGCAGTGACCAAGGGCAATGAACTGACCAATGTCCCAAGAGATTTCAAATTCCTCTGAGCAAAAAACTTAAGCAGAGCAAGCTTTTTATTTTTACTATTTACAAATGAAGATGGGAGGAGAGACCAAGTGCTCTAATGAGCCTTTTCTTTCCTTTCCCATTAACTCAGGCGTTACACTCTCTCGTTTCTGCCCTTTTAAGGCCAGACTTCCAAGCCCGCCATCACCCTCACTTCACGGGTTTGCTCTTTTCACCCTTGTTCTGAGCTTCCTGATGGGAGAGATGGAAAGACACTGCTGCCTGTGGCCTACATAGGACACGTCACTGGGTTCTCAGCCTGGTCTTCTAAGACCTTTAGGAAGAGATGGGGAAGAGCAGGGGAGGACGCTGAGGTGACCCCCAGGGTCACTGCACCAGGGCAGGGTCCCAACAGCCCTGGGAGGCTCCCTACTTCCTCAGAAATCTGCTCCAACCACAAGGACTGCACAGGGCTGCTGAGCAACAAGACTGATTCTCTCAACGTGACCAATCACCGACCACAGGCAATATATCCACTTGCTCAAAGAGGGAGACATTTCTTTCAGTTCTGCTTTTTTTTAGGGCTCTGTATCTGGGAGCATAACCGACCTTTAAATACTCAAGGTAATTTCTGTGCTTTGATTATAGGTTACCTTGCTTTGCAAGACAGGTCTGAGACGTATTTATTAAATATTGTAAGTGTAAATGCCTACTATAATTACCAGAAACAGAGACTATTCTACACAGATTAGAAACTATTAAAAATTGCAGTCAGCAGCCCTTCAGCAGATGAATACACTTACCCTTTTTTGTCCTACACCTTGTATATTTCAAAGGCCAAGTGGAGTTTTAAACATCTTGTTAGAGTAAAACATTACAATTTTAAACTTTCTTACAAATTGAACCAATGTGTATAGAAAATATCATGCTTTGGGTACCACAGGAGTGATGAAATCTTTTCCTACAGCCATGAGCACCCTCTACTGAGCTGCCTTTCTGAAGGAGGTGCCCGTGGGCACTGCACACACCCCAGCCACACACACACACAACAACACTTACCAGGTTTTTAAAAAGCGCCGTCAACTCCTTGGTAAACACTGAGAACTTCAGGAATGCACTTCCTAAATCCGGGTCATCTCTGCACACACAGTTGCCCCCAAACTTCTCCAGAGCCTGCGTGTACTGCTCTTCGTTCTCCACGTGAGCTGCGGCAGCAACACAGGAGGGGCTGTCAGTGTCTCAAGCATGCCATCCTCCTCCCCACCAGGCTCTGCTCAGGGGTGAGTACAATCAGAAGAGTGAAAGAAAAGCTGGGAAAAGCGGGAGCAGAAACAGTAACAGAACAGCTTTGCTATCCCAACAACACATCCCAAAGAACAAGCTCGGGAGCAGAGGGGAAACCCTGGCCGCACCCAGCAGTCCTCAGCATACCAGGTAAGACTGCCTGGGACACCCTCCTGCCCACGCCTCTGAGGACTCCACCTGGGCCATAATGTTGGCAGCAGTCACCAGGTAACAGATTCAGCCCATTCCTAGAAACCCCTCAGGAGAACCCCATTTCTTTCCAGTCCCCAGCCCAGGCCTCTAACTCAGAGGCACATGCCATGGCAACTTCTCTCTTCAACACAGGGACACCACTGGGCTTTCTGCTCTGCGCCTCTGCTCAGGATGCACCCTCTGCCCAGGGGCCCTGCCCTCCCCTCCCCGACTCCCATTCATCCTACACGCTCATGCTTCCTCCAGGAAGCTTTCCATGACTGCCCTAAGCCCTGGGTGTCTGGATCTGCACCTCTCCTAGCCTTGCACTCAGCATGTTACATTGCAACTGTCTGGCAAACACGTGCCCCACTCACTGGAAGCACTCCGAGGACGTGGACTATGTTGTGTTCATGTTTGCACTGAAATATGAGACAACACATGTTGTCTGAACAGAAGCAGCAAACACCGGGCATATGTCTGATGGTATTTCACCATCTTTAGGCCTCAAAATGGCACCTCAAAGAGGGAAAATCTGGACTCTGTACCTCTAGCTCAGTGGTTTTCAATCCTTGTTGGACACCAAAATCATGCACAGATCTGTACCAAACTCTAGACACCAGAGTCTTATCTCAGACTCTGATTCAGAAGGGCAGGTAGGGATGGGGGAAAAGGCACACAGGTAATCTTGGTAAATTAATATGACTGAACGGAATTCCCTCACTACTGGGTCGAGCATTTTCAAATGAAACCAGCCAGTCTACAACAAAACAACTTAAGTTTGCATAGATACTTAGTTTCTATGTTTTCATCAGTTCAGTTAGGAAACACAACCACCTGCAGGCCTGGCAGGGCAGGTGGGCAGACAGCAGACCTGTAACGTGAACTTGGATGTAAACCCCGTCAGGAAGAGACAGGCTTAGTGCTGAGCTCCTTCCCCGAGGACCAAATTCTGAAAGGCTTTCGGTAGCCCCCAAGTTCTTCCTCAGGGAAGGAAAACCGCTGTAAGGAAAAGACGCCAAGGCTGGGCCTGACGACCAGGCAAACGAGGGGAGCACCACTTGTCCCTAAGCCAATCCCCGTGGCCCATGTATGGTCTGTTTCCCCATCTAGATGGTTCTAATGTGGATGTAGCAAACACAAAAGAGAAAATTTACTGTTTGATTCCAGAAAAAGGCCTAATTTCTGAGCCCATATTCAGTAACTAAATTAAGACAAAAACACAAACACGTGCGTGCGTGCACACAGCACTTCCGAGTGTGCAGCGCAGTGAGACGAACTCGCAGAAGACGTGGGCTCCAGTCCTAGGCATCTGTACAACCTGGGTGAGTCATAGTTACACTGGCCTACCACATCAGCTACGTAAAAGACCTGCTGTGAGACACTCACAAGGTTATGGTTAAGAGTCAAAGAATAAGGTAAAAATGCTCAATTTAGCCATATTCAGTGCATAACTAAGAACGCTAACAACAGTACCAGCAGCAACAGATATCATTTATATGGAGCATAGACTTTATGTGGATTTTTTTCCTAAACTTCACAAAACATGTATTATTCATTACAATGCTAATAGGAAATTGGGGAGGCTCAAAGAAATCAAATTAACCTTTCCTAGAAAACAGCCAGAAAGTGGCAGAGCTGGGATTCAAACCCCAATCTGTCTGATTCCAAAGTCCTTTCTTCTTTTACTCTGCTACACTGATGTTTGTTTCACAACTAAAAATAAGTTTACCTTGCCAAAACCAAAAAGTACCCAATTCTTAGATTTTTAAAGTTCCATTTCAGAGATGGATCAATAATCCTTTCTATTTTACTTATTTATGATTCTAGAGAGCATGTAATCAACAGTGTCGAGTAGAGCCTTCCAAATCACACACAATTTTTTCCACTGTGTCAAGACTGGTAGTCAAGGCACAGGCAGTTCCAGGGGGTTTGAGAAGGGAGCCGATGGCCACAGGTGGGCCTCTGCACTGAGCACACGCCCCTGGATGACAGAGAGGGGCAGGGCCCTGGCCACATCCTTCACAGTGCTTGGCTATGTGGCTACACAAACACAGCAGGAGAGAAGCCAGAGACGCCACAAAACCTCACAGTGCCCCTTGAACTGGTGACTGACCCTTCCTGCTACTCTGAATGAACACCTGAAGGGAAGGGGCTTAGCACGGTCAAACGCCTATTACGGGGCTTTTCGCCTGCTGTTCACTCTAGCTCGATAATGCTAAGAGGTAACTACCACAATTCCTGCTTTCTCAAGGATTGAGTGGCCTTTGCTCCAGACCATACAGTTGGCAGGAGGTGAGGCCAGGAGCCAAACCCACTGTCTGCACCAGGCAGGCTGCCTGTGGGCCCAGGTGACCTCCAGGAGGGGCGCCTGCCTCCTCCCACAGGTAGTTGGCCAACCAGGCATGGAACAGAAACAGAAAACCAAGGCTTCATGTTCTAGCACAAGAAGTAGAGAGAAAAAAATCCCAAGAACTGGGCGGCATCTGTGGCTCAAAGGAGAAGGGCGCTGACCCCATATGCCAGAGGT